TTCGAGGATTAATGGGGCATTAAAGAATATTAACCAAAAATATTTTTTGTGGTAAGATTTTAGATTCTAAGATTTTTCTGTGCATGAGGATGCTAATGTTATGTGGGAAAAGTGGCTAGTGATATTAAGAAATATTGCAAAAGATGTGCTTGGATATCTAAGGGAAAAGCTCCCTAATAGTAACAATAGTTGGTGGTGGAAATCCAATTGTGGCAAAAAAGATTAAACAATAAGAGATTTGTTAACAAAATTGTTTAATTTAAAATCTGATAATTGGGAATTTATATAAAGTGGCTCGTAAGGATTCAAAGAAGCAATATGCGAATTGCAAAGACATTGCTTTTAGCGTTTATATAATAGATTAAATACTAAGGAGGGAGAAATATATATATATATATATATTTGTTTTGATGCATTTCAAATGCAATGAAATAAGATGGATGATGATGAGCGGTTGCTAGGGTGGTGGTGATGGCAATAGGTGGTGGTGGGTTGTAGTCGATGGGGTTGAGGTAATGGATGTGGTGGCAGGTGATGTCTGATGGCGGGTACACATAGGGGTGTAAATGAATTGAGCCGAGTCAAACATATGCTTGTTCATATTTGTGTTTGCTTATTACTATGATGTGCATACACGGATACGATATGACATGGACACGCCACACATCAATTATTGAAAATATGACACAAACACGGGTTGAATACGATATTATAATTTTTATATTTTAAAAATAGTGTATAAAACTGATTAAGTATTAAAAATAATTTAGAAATAATAAGTCGTTTAATTAGAATTTGTGCTTAAAATGATTAATATTAGGATGTCAAAAGTTGGGCGTCAATGCAGTGTATCAAGTATTGAGAGAGGAGATGACAATGTTGTTGAGAGTCAAACATTGATGTTATGCATCAAGTATCATATGTCGATGTCGAAGAGCATCTATCGACGATGTTGAGAGGGCGTTTGATGTAGAACGGGAGACGCGCTTTGCTATGGAGGTTGGACAAACTCCAAACCCAAAAATCTGAGAGAACTAAACCACTGCAGGAATTTTCTGGCAGCAGTTTGTTGCACTGTGGGCAACCAGCAAGAGCTTCACGGGAAGCAGAGGGAACTTCAAAGAGGGTGGGGATTGGAGGGAAAAACTAAGGCAATAAATTAACTGAAGTAATTAAAAGGGAGAGAGGAAGTGGCGGTTAGCTGAGAGGGGAAATTAAAATCCCAAATTAAATTTCTTAGATTTAGGAAAACAATTGGCTGGGTTTGAATTATTTCCTAAATCTTTGATGGAAGATTTGGGAATTAATTCAAATTAAAATCTCATGGGAGAGAGGGGGTCGGCTAGAATGAGGGGGTGAGGGAAACCAGATTTGGGAAAGCATTAATGGCAGTGGGGCCTTGAAGGTTTCAGCCAACAGCAACAGATTTGCTCTTCAAATTTTCCCAAAAATGAGCACTGTCCCGTGGACAGATTTTGAGAATTTTCAGTAATGGGAGGCGATAGGCTGGGAGGGAATTAGGGAAATATTTCCTAAATCTTATTCTCAGATTTTGGAAACCAAGCAAACTGATGGAAGCAATTAAGAGGAGATGTCAGGATTTTGGATGTGAGGAAAAACTGTTACGGGAATTTGAAATTAATTTCCAAACAATTTGATAGAATAGGAAATAATTTATTGGAAATTGCTGGTTCCTGCCAAGGTGGAGGTGAGCTGGCGGCATGCAAGGGAGGAATAGGGGTTTGAATGATTTAATTGGAATTACTTAATTGGGGTGTGGAGTTCAGGAAAGAAATAATTAAACCCTATTTGAATTTGAAATTCAAATTGAATTTATTTATTATCTTTCCAAAAATAGAATGATGAATTAGGAAAGAATTCAAATTTCAAATTAGTGGAATTTGAAATTTTGAAAACCGCCCAAAATTAAATCACCCAAATTAAGTTTGAATTACATCATGAATGAGATTCAATACTTTCCTAAAATAGATTTCTATTTTAGGAAACTATGTGAAATTCAAAAATTCGAATTTCAAAGAATGAAAATAATTTCCTAAATTATTTGAACTCTTTAGGTAAGCATTAAGGTGACATTAACTCCTCATTCATGGAGACAAACAAGAGTGGCCGGCGGTGGAGGAGCTAATGGGGGAAAATTGTAGGGCTTGGATTGAAGGAGATGTTAGGTGGAGTTTTAGTGGAGGATTGGTATGCGAGAAGATGAATAAAGGGGGTGGAAGGAAGAAGAAGAAAGAAATTCACAAAAGAAAAACCACGAACCCGGCCGTCTCCAAGGTTGGTGGGTGATCCGATTCTCCCTCTCCAAGGGATCTCAAATCACGAGCCCGGACCCATCCTGCGGCTGGTGACAACTTCGATTCCTTCCCATAGGAATCCCACTAACGCTCTCTCACAAGAAGAACAAATGTGGAACACAAAATTTTTCATATCAAATTAACCATCCTATTACAATAGCTAAAGGCCATATATATAAGCCACAACATGAGAAAATAAAAATTTATAAAATTGTCCCTTGGGCTACAACACTCAAATAAATTAACCTTGGAGTAAAACAGGAAATAACATAAAATAGAAACTAAAATGCATAAAATAATTCATAAATGACAACTTAAATTAGAGCCGTCGATTTACGACGACTCCTGTGATAGATGCGCCAGATCTTCTGGCCGATGTCCGCATCAGCGTTGGTCATCAATGTTTAGATGACATCGAACAAAGATGAGTTGTCAAGTTGTGGGTGTAGAAATTGCTTGCGTCGAGCATTAATGTCCAGATAGTGTCAGACTTTGATGTTGAGATGGTTTTGAAAGGTAGATATTGTAACGAAGTCAGACGTCGATGTTGACATGACATCGGACATTGTTGTTAAACCAAAATTGCAAACCTCCAAAGAGAAATGAAAATGTGAATATCTGATGAATATAATATTGAGTGCGAGCGATTGATTTCGTGTTGTAGAGAGAAAAATTAAAAAAATTAGTTTTTATATTTTAAATAAATAAAAATTTTAAATACAAGAAATTATATTAAAAATATTTCATAAAATATGTAAGACGCATGTTGGACATGTTTGTCCAATTTGTATTTAATATTTTTTAATCAGACACGTGTCAGAGGTATGTTGGATGTGTATCATGTTGAATATGTGTAAGACATTGCACGCCTCTTTAAGGATAAGTGTCTGTGCATCATAGGTTTATTATTAGTTTGTTCATGTTCATTCGAGCTTTCTTGTTCGTGTTCAAACTTGGTTCGTTTAAATTGATGGATGCTTATGTTTGTTTTGTGTTTTGTTCATGTTCGGTTCATTTCGTTCTTATCGAGCGTTAAACAAACAAGTCTTATCAAGCTTTGTAGAGCTTACTAACAAACATGTTCACGAACATTTCTAGCTATTATTTTGAACTACAAAATGAGCCTGTTCATGAACATATAATGTGAGTGATTTTGTGCCACCAGAAAAGATTGTTCGTGAACAAATCTAGCAAGAGTTTTTGGACTATCAAATAAGTCTGTTCACGAAAACATCTAGCGAGTTTTCAAACTACCAAACGAGCTCATTCACAAATAAATGAATTATAATTCTTTTTATAAGCAAGCTTGTTCAGGAACATTTTGAACAAATAAAATTGATGATAATAAACAATCATCCTTGAGGGAAAAGAAAAGATGATGTAAAAAATGGCCAACATATCCTCAAGAAGTTATTCTACAAATATGATCAAACAAAAATATTAAATGAAATAAATTTAAAATTTATAACCTCTTAAAAATTAATTCCATGAATATAATTAAGCCAAGTCAAACACAATAGGTTTTTTGTCAGCTCATTTATCATTGGCAAAAGAAAAATGGTAAGAAATATATAAGCAAGATCATATAACAGTCGATAAAAATAATTCAATTCTTTAACATAAAATGTTTGGTATCTAATATTAGGCAAGAAATCTGTAACTCTATGAGCAAGAATCGAGCTTTTTATTAAGATCGTAACGAGCTTTTTATCGAGCGTGTTCATGAGCTTCGGCCGATGTTGTTCATGAATAGAAATGAGTCAAATACATAGTTGTTCAAACTTGTTTATTAAAACATCGAGTATTTAAAAAAATGTTCAAACTTGTTTAATTACTTAATTAAACGATCACAAACGAGTTTTTGTCGAGCTGAACCTCGAGTAGCTTGTCCAACGCTTAGTTCGTTTGCAGCACTAAGCTCACAAGGTTGGGAGGGAGGCGTGTTCTCAAGTGGCTATAATCTCGGGTTCCTTGCAACTAGCTGTAGGGTTCCTTGCATAAAACACATAAAAAGTCACATGAATTAAGAATGTAGAATTTGGCATCATGGAATCTTTGCTGCTTCTGTTGTGCTCAGATTTGACGAGCCAGATTCAATGTTTTAAACTATTTGCTATGGTGTGCTTATGCTTTCTGCATAGGGGAAAATTCAGGTGTATTGGAGCTATTGGTTTCCTCTAGCATTCATTTTATCTCTCATATATTTTAGGGCTGCAATTTATTGTGACTAAATCAAGAACCTAAATATCTTTCAATGTCTGCTTGGGCCTTGGAGTTTGCTTGCTCTTTGATCAAATTTAATATTCTATTCGTTTTCAGACTTTTCTCTGCGATATATTATGCATTTTAAGCCTGTTCAGTGAATTTCCATACAAAATATTTACCTTACATAATTGTAAGTGTTATCATTTTGTCTCATTCGCCAATTTATTTTAGAATTTTAAGCTTTCTGTAAGATTTTCATTGTTAGCCATGGTAGACAATGGAGGTGTAATTGTAGGTGGCTTTTGTTCTATCATGGTTTCAGGAAAACTGGAAAATTATACGTCTTATACAAAGATATGAAGTGTAGAGAAAGTTATTTACACAATATTAAAAATAATTATCTTTCTCTTTGCAATTAGCAATTTCAGGTTTTTTCAGTGGACTTGGTTATTTTCTGATATTTTGATTTCAATGTTCCAGCTGACGAGCAAGCTTGGTAAACTACAAAAAGTAAACGGTCCAGATCCAAACTACAAAGATATCTGTTTTGCTGGTGCTGGGAGGTGTTGCTATAATCCAAACAATGAAACCTTTATTCCTGCCTATCTTTACACATAAGGAATACTAATTTTTATCCGCTTTACTATGTTTCAGTGATCCATCGAAGTCTTTCCCAGAGGTTGATATGGTATTTGAAAATGGGAAAACACTGAAACTCGCTCCTGAAAATTACCTTTTCCGGGTAATGAGAATTTTTGGTGATGCGTAATATATACTACCTGGAGTTGTATTTTTGTCACACCTTTTGCTTCTGTTGATTCTAGATCAGCTATTTTCCTTGTTCTGATGTATTTTCTCATTTTTTTTTTGTGCTGCAAAGCATTCCAAGATTGATGGGGCTTATTGCTTGGGAGTTTTTCAGAATGGAAACGATCCAACAACACTATTAGGGGGTATGTTAACTTTTTTTTTTGGATTTGTTCTCAACAGCACTCTCTGTGCTTTTATCACTTTACCCTTTCCATTGTTCTGTTCTGTTTACTTTGTTGGGACTTGGGCCTTGTCTCCTGTCGATTTTAAATGTGAAGGCAGCCCTGTGATGTTTGCTGCTTTCATATCACTACTGTTTCTTGAAATTACTCTGATACCAATTGAAATTACTAGATGTGCCAAGAGGGGGGTGAATTGGATGATTAAAAACTTATTTAATGAAAAGAAATATCTTTTTATGACTTTATGCGGAAGCGAATTTCATTCACAATAAAAAGATAGATAGTCAATTTCATTCACGCAATAAATCGCAATAAAAATATATGCGGAAATAAAGTGCAGAAAAAATAAAGGAAAGAACACACCAATTTATAGTGGTTCGGTCAAACCATGACCTACGTCCACTCCCCGGGGGCACCCTCCGAGTATTACACTAAACCTTTAGTGATTCTCCTTTAGACCCCACAGCTAGGCGGAGAAGCCCTTACACAATCACTTCCACCTTCCCCGGTGCGGCGGAGGAGCCGGGTCCTTTGACACCAATGAGATCTTCTTCTTCCCAAAACTTCCTTCAAGACGAACCTTGAATCCGATGGTACTGAGGTGCAAGCTTGCCGGAGCAACCGTGTGATCTCCTTCACACTCCCTTGAAACCCCCTCCAAGGATCTTCTCCCTCTCTCAAACTTCACCCTTTCCTCTCTCCCTTTCAAGTCCTCTCTTCAAGTTTTCTCCAAAAGAACAAAGACACAATGGCTACCAAAGACTCTTACAAAGTCTTATGAGAGTGCTTAAATAGAGGGCTCAAAAAACCCTAAAAATACTCAATTCGGGCGTCAAATATCGTACCGTACGATATCAAGATCGTCCCGTACGAAGTGCAGAAATTGACCTGTTAGTACTGTACGATGTCCTGTACGATGTGCTGTACGATCCAGTTCGTACAGTACGATCCAGTTCGTCCAGTACGATCCAAATGACAAATTTCAGCCGTTTTGATTGAATAATCTCAGGATTAACTTAGGCAATATTTTAAACATCGTACAGTACGATTATGATCGTACAGTACGATTATACAACCTTTCAAATTCAAATTTTTGCCTAATTTAATGGACGGCGGGCTTTCTAATTATAACAGATCGTACAGTACGATGTGGTGATCGTACAGTACGATTAGTTATATTCAAAAATAATTTTTCCAGGAAAAATAAAATATTTTAATTTATTTCTGTTACACCAGATCGTACAGTACGAAATAAATTCGTACAGTACGATGAACAGAAAAGTTAAAATATTTATAATCATTTTTTGCTCCCTCTATTTGTGTGCATGATCAACAAACTAACATACATCATTACAAGACTTGACTCAATAAATGAAAATTACAGACTCATTTAATACGACCAATTCTATGCAATCTTGAGCCTTGAATCTTCAAAGAACGGTGCATGATGTACCTGAAATATTAGTCAACATAGAAAGACATATGCACTGCAAATACTAGGAGAAATAAGAGATTAATAAATATTATTTGTTATCATCAAAATCATAAACTCGGAAGCCCGAGTTGTAACAATCTCCCCCTTTTTGATGATGTCAAATAATATTGGTTGACTTTGCAATTTAAAAAAATTTCTCCTAAACTCCCCCTCACTAAAAGAATTACATTAAAATTAGGGGAAAAGCTTTTCTTTTTCACTTTTTTTTATTTTTTTTTTATTTAAAAAAAATAACAGCAAAAATTAAAATAAAATGCAATAAACAACAATACTTTCTCCCCCTTTGACATTATCAAAAAGAAGAGATAAAATAAAATATAAAATAACAACATAATAACGAAACAAAAACATACAATTACAGGAATAGGGAGTTTGATTGCGGATTGCTGAGCATGGAAGGCGATTTATGAGGTAATTTGCAGTTGAAATGGCTTCTGCCCAGAAGATTGGTGGTAGGTTAGCGGCATGAAGAAGGGTGCGAGTCAGCTCCAGGAGATGTGTGTGTTTCCGTTCGGCAATGCCATTTTGTTCTGGCGTGTGAAGACATGTAATTTGGTCAATGATGCCGTTTTGTGTGAGATAGTCCCGAATCACATGACTTGTAAATTCTCCATCGCCATCAGTCCGGAAGGTCTGGATGTTGGTGTTAAAATTGTTCTTTATTAAATTATGAAATTGATGAAATTTGGCAAAAGTTTCTTCTTTGTAGTGAAGTAAACAGAGCCAAGAAAATCTCGAGAAATCATCTATGAAAATGACGTAATAACGAGAGCCATTCATTGAAGAATTTGGTGCCAGACCCCAAACGTCCGAGTGAAAATTTGAAATTTCTTTGTATAGGTTGAGGTGCTTTTGGGAAAGAACATTTTGTGACTTTTGGAGACATTACAGGAAATGCAAGTTTCTAATGGAGTATTACATTTTGTAAGATCTGGAATGGAGTTTGCTAAAGTTTCGAGAATGCGAAAATGTAGGTGGCCGAGCCTGGAGTGCCATAGTGAAGTAGACGTGCAGGAAGCTGTTAAGGTAGCTGATTTAGGTGTGGAAGGAGCCTTGAGACGGTATAGACCATTATGTTTGTGACCGCGGAGAAGCAGTTGATTGCACTGACGATCCTTTATAAAAAATTCGTTAGCGTTAAAGCATATGGAAATATTGTTGTCAGATGCTAATCTAGAGACAGAAAGCAAATTATGAGAAAGTGACGGAACATGTAAAATATTGCGTAAATTAGCAATGGATACTGAATCAAGTCCATTATACGGCGTGATCTACTAGAGGTTGGAGGCATCAGCGGTGAGATGGGACGAAGCTCCGGAGTCCAAGATCCAGTCCGTAGTAGAGGAGAACTGCTATTGGACAGCGAGAGCTTTGGGATTTGATGGAGGAGCGTAGTTGAGGTTGCAGCAGTGCCAGTAATTTAGCGCCGAGCGTCCTGTTTTGCCGCAGATCTTGCAGTTTGGTCTGTTGGAGCTGTTCTTGATTGGATTTTGGAGATCCGGGGAGGATTGGGGGCGAGGAGTGAAATTTCTCCCGCGAGGCTTGTTGAGCTGCCCGCGGTTGTTGTAAGTTCTGTTGGAAAGAAGTGCTAGCACCTCAGATTGCGATGTTTCTTTGAGATGCTGGTGCTGGAGATTGATTTCTTTGCTGCATAGCAAAGAATAAAGATCATCGAGACAAATGGGTTGAAGGGAGGTTCTTATGGAAGTTTTGAAGGCGTTATAGGTTGAGGGTAGTCCATTTAGGATGTAGAGAACTAGGTCTTCCGTGTCGATGGTGGAGTCGGCGGCCGCAATGTTGTCGACGAGGATCTTGGTTTGATCAAGATATTGCTGCATCGTGCGATCTTTCATTTGGATTTGATGGAGAGTACTGGGTTGAGCCCTTGGGTGTCAAATGCTCGTTCTTGAGCTGTATGATGCGGGATCGATTGGTAGGTTGGAGTCGGCGTTCTAGCGTAATCCACACTTCGTGAGCTGTGTTGAGCGAAATGACATATGGTAGAATTGAGGATGAAATTGTTGACAGAAGCGCAAAGACGAGATTGCGGTTGATGAGAGTCCATAGTTTGTATTCTGTAGCTATGGACGCTGGCGGACAGCTATCGAGGCCGGTGAGATGGTCATGGAAGCCGTTCGCGGAGAAGTGTTGGTAGAGTTGTAATCGCCAAATTGCGTAGTTTTCGGAGACAAGTTGTGTGGGGACAAGATTCTTGATATTAGATATGAGGAATTTGAGAGAGGGATGAATGACAAACTCGGTGATAGTATCGGAGGTGGAAGACGCTGTGCGGTGAGAGGTTGTGGATCCTTGTTCAGCCATGTGAAGAGTTGAATGCTGTGGAGCAGTTGTGCTCTGATACCATGAGAATGTCTGGAGCTGAGGCAAAAACGGGAAACAGAGAGAAGACGAGCTGAGACAGGGAAAGAAACAGGGAAATGAAATAATGTATTGATGTCTGTATCATCAATTACAATGTATTATATAGATGAGTTTAAGCAAGATAATCAAGATAGTACATAACGGTACATGATGTAAACCAATAAGTGAATGACAGGTGTCTTAACAATTATGTGCCAAAAAAATTGAGTCAGTAAAGTGTGTGTTTAACATCTTAATGTTGTACAAAAAATTAGCACTCATAGATAAAAATAGTAGGATTAGAAATTCATGAATAATTCAAAAAGGAAAAAACCATGGGGCCCGGCTCAGATGAAAAATCCACTATATATTAGAGGATATAAATCTTTCTTTCTTTACCCTTAGAGATAGGATACGAAATGAGCATATACGTGAAAAGGTTGGAGTAGCTCCAGTAGAAGATAAGATTAGAGAGAGTCGCCTTAGATGGTTTGGTCACATAAAAAGGCGGTCTTCCGACGACCCAGTTAAGAGAGTAGAGGTATTAGATTTGACTTGTGTTAAGAAAGGTAGGGGTAGACCTAAAAAGACTTGGTTAGAAAATATTAGTTGTTGTTGTTGTTGTATCATCAAAATCATAAACTCGGAAGCCCGAGTTGTAACATTTCTGTGTTTTGTTCCTTCTGAGAAGTTTTGAAAGGGTAAAAAGCGAATAATTCACATGTTGTCGATGTCATTAAACGTGTGGCTCCAGTGTTCTCCAACCTGTCCAAATAATATTGCATATTTTAATCTGTCATGTTTTGACTTGCAGGAATTATTGTCCGCAATACTCTTGTAACATATGATCGCCAGAACGAAAGGATTGGATTTTGGAAGACCAACTGCTCTGAATTGTGGAATATATTGCATATTGACAAAAATAAATCAGAAAAACCACCACCATCACCTACATCGACAAACTTAACAACAGAACTTGCACCTGCTTTATCTCCTAGTGGATCAAAATACAATTTTCTGCCAGGTAAATGTTTTCCTTAATATGCTAAATAGCTGAAAGAGAAAATATCTTGGAAGTTTCTGATTTTTTACTCTTATATACTTGGTCTTAATAAGCTTTAATAATCCAATGATTCTTTTTAGTAACTTATCAAGAAGAGTCATTGTTTCCATTTTTCTTACGTGCATTTGTATGGTTATTTGTATGTTCCTTGTTTTTGTTTATCAAACTTTTACTGGGATCACTCTAAAGGAGTTGAATTTTGTTAGCGCTGTGACATTTTCCGGAAGTGATGCGGCACAACCAACTAAATTGTTGTGAGGAGTAGGCGAGGGTGAGTAAAAAGTAAACAAAGGTAGGTTGGGTCGTCACCTTTAAGCTATAAGTCACACGTTACTTGGTTGTATTGAAAAGCAAGGGTTGACTCAATATAAATCTAAGATTAGATTTGACACCTGGAATTTGAAAATTTTGAATGGAAAGATGAGTTATTGTGCTCTATGATGAGAAGAACAATACATATTGCTTGTTTATAAGAAACTATATGGAAAGGAAAAATTCAAGAATATTGGGAAGATTATGAATTAATGTATGTTGGAAACGTTATCAATAGGAATGGGGTTAGGTTTATTGCAGATAGAAAGTTAAAAGATAAAATTATTGATGTTAATAGGGTTAATGATGGGGTGATTGCTAGTAAGATAATATTTAGTGAAAAATTATGAGTATGGTCAATGCTTATGCTCCATGAGTTAGATTAAAATATAGTTTAGAAGATCAATTTTGTGAAGAGGCAGATGAATTGCTAAAGCATTTATTTGCTAAAGAAAGGTGTTGGATGTGATTTAAATTGCCATAACAGGCCTAATTAATATGATGAGAATGAGAGAATTCATGGTAGTTATGTAATAGGCGATATAAATTTGATGAGAGAAGCTATACTAGATCATAGTAGCCTATCATCTTGTAATAGGGAACATCTACTTTAAGGAATGAGAACTACAATTAATTTCTTATAAATGTGGAGATCACCAAATCAAAGATAGTTTTCTTCTCGCTAAATAGGAAAGAAAAATCTTATAAAAATTGTAAAATGATCTCAAGAGAAAGCTTGATAGCACAACATATGATAATAAATATGGGGATATATATATATATATATATATATAGCTAAGATTATAAAGAAAACAATAGAAGAAATTATGGCTTATGATAATGTGGTGGAGTTAGAAAGGTGAGAAATTATTAATATTTCAAGATAGATTGCAAAGTGAGTCAAATTAAAATTATTTAGTTGATCCAAATTGATGTGGAATAAGATGACTAGTTTCATTAAGATGATTATTGTAGAAGTTTTAGGAGAGTATACAAATAGATCATACGCTAATAAGGAGGCTTGGTGGTAGAGTAAAGAAATACAAAGGGTTATTAAAGAGAAAATAACCATCTACTAAGGTTAATAATAAGAAAGTTAAAAAGTCTTGCTGAGAGGGTAGTAGGCAAACCAAAAGCTACACTTTTTGAAAATTTATTTTATAAGATTAGTAATAAGGAAGGAGATAAAAGATCTAGCATTTTTTATGAAGTTATATACTTGGATGTGAAGATGATAAGATCTTGATTAAAGATGAAAATATTAAGAAAATGTGCAATTGTTACTTTGAGAAATTACTAAATTAGTTAAGGAAGAATTTATTTCAAAAGAATACTATAAACAGTATAGTGAAGTGATGGAATAATTTATTTAAGGTAAATAATTTGTAGACATTATAATGATAAATTCAGCAATTATAATTTTTACCTATTTGAAAGCCAAAACAAGAAGAAAAAATGCAAATAATGAAATGATGAAGGAATACTTAAAAATCAAGAATACTCATGAGATTGAGTGATTATATATATGCCAAGAGGTGGAGGTAGTGTGAAATGAGAGAGATATGTTGTAACACCCCACAATACACTTGACTAGTACTGTAGAGTGTAACAGTTAAAACATATCATTTTCTTTCTATAAAGTTTTTGGAAACAGATAACCACTTGCATAATTATACGAAGTATCTCATAAACCTTCATGGATACATTAACTAAAGTACTTAACATTTTTAAACATCCACAACCTAGTTACAGAGGCACTAAAGAACATCCAAACAAAATATTTCAATTGAGTGTTTACATACCCTTAGCTAATCCTTACAAACAGATATAGAAATAACACATAACATTGAGGTACTTGAAATCTAATCAGCAACAACTTTATCTTTTTCTTTACCTGTAAGAACAACCAGAAGAAAGTTCTGGTGAGCTATGAGGCTCACATAAGCTATGCAAACTTAAATAACAATAAAAAATGAATTGATAAAATGAAATACAATACTGAGCTAATCATTTCACCAACATATCATTATTTGAAAAGCATCAAAACTTCATATTGAACATCATCCTTTATGTCATTTGAGATATATATTGAATATTTGATCTTTTAAAAGATTTGGCTATACTTTAACATATTCAATGGAGCCCAGATAAATCTGGCATTATCACCATTGAATTTCATAGAGGTCCCTTTTGCCTCTTTAGGGGTCCCTTTTGCCCCACCTGATATGCAGGTATCCATTTTCTTGGGGTCTCTTTTGCCCCATCTACAATTCAGGTTTCATATTGGTCCCTTTTTCCCACCTGACCATATAGATATCATAATATAACATAGCCAATCTTTATTAAATCAATATTCAATAACTCTCATATTCATAAGTCATCTCTTTTATCACTTATATAGCTGTACAAGTGTTTCACTAATAATCTATTTCGTTAATAAAATAATACCTGTATTGCACACTCTCTATTGCCATGGAAGCAAATTCTTCTCACAAAATTTCCTCAATAATATGATCTATTTTCTGCTGATTTCCAAACTGCTATAGTGCTCTCCTTCACTGTGCCAAACAAAGGAATAAAAATTCTGCACTAAACCGAAACTTCCATAGCCATTTCATTGCATTTTACTTCAGGAAACCAACCTAATATTTCATGAAAATACTTACTGTGAACCCTGGCTGCCAATTGCAAAAGCTCTATGCCAAATACCACTGCCGACGCATGCTACAGTGGATTCTGCGATTTTCCTTCACAAATCAGCGGTAATTGCTACAGTCCCGGGAAAGTGATGTTCCGAACTCTCCCTGTGAAGAATTTCTGCACCGTATGCTTCTACAAGAGGCGTTTTGGATGCATTCCGAATATTGATAAGGATCCAAAGAGTGGACCCCACTACTCTAACTGCTCTCATAATAGCCCAAGGGAAGCATCTATTCAAAACAAAATTTTTATTTAATATTTAGTTTAACAGGATATATAATTATTAATGAAGGCTAAGTTACTTTAATTAAACTTATTTAATTACTAGAAATTTTGGGTTGTTACATATGTGAGGATGATGCATTAAGAAGCATTCTTGAGAAAATGTTTGTGAGCAAGAAGCTATTCGTGCTAATCTTAAGAAGCAACAAGAAGCATATAAGAAAACTAACAAATGAGAGGGCCTGAAAAGAATATCCAAGAAGCAACGAATTCCAACTATAGAGAATAAAGAACCAGTGAGCAACGACTCAATGACTATGAGAAATAGTGAGGATAAATGAACATTCTTGTGTAGTTATTGTGACATGTTGAATCGATCATCAAATTTGAACAAGGATTTTGTTTTGAGTCTGAGTCGTACACATAAAACTACCATGCAACACACGTGTGATTACAATTGCCTTTGGCTTCTTTATAAAATGGACTTCGTTATATATTTCTTAATTCTTAATTCCTATCAATAAATGCTTGATAAAAGAAAGCATTTTAATCCAACATGATAACATCCTTTATCTAACCTATTATCTAATAATAAGGAATAAAAAGATTAGAAGGTCAAATGTTGTTAATGCAATGTTCATGTGGAAGAGAAGCTAGAGACGTTAGGGGCATAAAAGAGTAGAGTCGAGTCAAGTATTTGCCTAATTGAGCTAAGTTCGTTTAGTTCTTATTGAGCTCAAGCTTGTTTGGAAAGCTCGAGCTTGACTCGATTGTTGAGCTCAATTTCTTAATTTTAAAGTAAAAATTTTAGTTTTTTAAAATTTTATTTTTAATATAGAGTAGATTTTAAAATGTTAAAATATATTATATAGTGCTAATTTAAATTAATTTTTAAATATATTTTAAATTAATCAAGCGCTCAATAACCTTTCAAGTCGAGCCAAGCTGAGCTCGAACTTGAGCTTGTTAATGATTCAAGCTCGAGCGGGCTCACGAGCCAATCGGCTCACTTACACCCCTCTAAGAGACATAGATAAGAAGGTTGAATTTATTCTCCAGTTGCTCACTTCTCTAACCTAAAGTCATATGTTGTGGTTGTGAAAGTCAGTTTTCTCTGTTTTCCTTCCAGGTTCGTTCGGACGATGTGGAAATCGTCTGGGACGATCAGTTCAAAAGCTGGTGACAGAGATCTTCATCCCAGGACGAAGGTAGTTCGTTCGTACGAAATTTTTCCCGAGAGCAACTCGTCCAGGGACGAAATATTTGGAATTAATTTTCATATGAACGAATTTTGTCCAGAGGAGATCGTCCCAGGACGATCGGGAAAATCATCCTGTACGATCCGACTTTATAAATATCCAAATAGATATTTTTGAAGAAAGAGAGAAAAGGAGGAGAGAGAAAAATGATGGAAAAGGGAAGAAAAGTGGATTTTGGGCAACTTCGGTCCGTTTTCGTCCGTCGCCGTAGTTGTAAAAGTTGATCGACTCGAGATAAGACATATTATGCCTTTCTCAATTTTCAGAAATGTTGATTTTGACGACTTTTCTGTTTCAAATTCCGTTTCCGTTAGCGAAAATTTGGTATTATTTCGTACTGATAAATATTTTACCGCGTAACTTTTGGTATGTTTCTGAGATGATGTTTTTGCATGTTTTGAGTATTTTCTAGAAGATTTTGACGGGGTATTTTGAATTCTGCGAAGTTTTAATCGAATAACGAATTATCTGAATGTTGAAAATATTTGCTTCAGTACAATGAAAGTCTTAAAACGGTGTTTTACACTATCTGAGGTAATTTGGTAATTTTCTAAAACTGTGATTTGATCTGTGAAAATTTCTGTAGACTGCCGTTATGCCGCTAACGATTTTCCTAAAGTAATCCAATTTTTCTGAATTTGAATGAATTGATGTGTTTGAATGATCAGAAGGGAGTTATAAGGGGCCAAAATCCTTTGGGATTCTGTCAGGGCCCAGGAATCTGAAAATAAGTTATGATCTGATAATTATGTATATCTGGTATCTTCGTGTGCTGTAAGCACAAGGGAGGCATAAGGGGTCAGATTACTTTGAGATTTTGTCTGTGTCTGGGAAGGGAGGCATAAGGGGTCAGAATCCGTTGAGATTCTATCAGGGTCCGAGAATCTGATATCTTTTATGTGATATGTGATCTTATCTGCTTTGACAATGTGCTTTATGATTTGTATGATTCTGATTTGAATTCTGATTTGAATTATTCTGTTATATGAAATGAATTCAGTTATTCTTTATCGGTTGTTTGATTTCTGTTTGATTAGTTGTTTTATACGAGTATATGTATTATGTCTGATTATACGATTTTCTGTACGATTATCTGAATTCTGTACGGCTAATATTCTGATGTAATTTTGGATGTGAGTTCTTGGAGATTTTGATTGGCAAGTGTAGTCTTGCTGAGCTGTTAGCTCATTCTTGTTATTTGAGTGGTTTTCAGGTTCTGGGAAAGGGAAGGAGGTCTTGGACTAGCCGTTCAGTGTCTGATCTAAGATAATGTATTTTTTTTGTACAGTCATGGCTCTTCTATTATGTTCTTTCTGTTGGTAGTCGTGCACTGTAATGTACATGATTATTTTGAAGAAAGAAAGAAAAAAATAATGGATGAACTTTTCTGTATATTTTGATGTTTATAGTAGTTCTGTGTTTTCTATATGTCTGTTTATTGGAAGAAAGTCTGAAAGCAAATTCCAAAGCTAGATCCTGGATTCATTCGTCGCGACTCGATGCGATAGAATTCGTTCCGGTCAGGTTGGGTCGTGACAGTGGTTCTCGTTCTATTGCAATAGGCTAATCATTCTAGCCGATCTGTTATCCAAACCCAAAAGTTGTGAGATGCCAGCCTAAAGATGATCCATAAAGAACCCTCAAACTCTTTGTATGAATGCTTCTACTATGTGCTCAACCATCTCAATGCGCATGGGAAGGCTGCAACACACGATCTGCATTGGAGCACATTGTAACAATCAGCATAAGGTGGATCTGCCCCAGTATCCCATTATGTGGGGTCGTCTACATGATCATTTTTCTTCATTGTGTCCTGTTATGAGTCATATTCTCATTTAAATCTAATAAAAAAGGATCATTTCTAATATTTTATAACCAAGTCTTTTTAGATCTACATCTACCTTTCTTAACATAAGCCAAATATAATGCATATACTTTCCTAACTTGGTTATCAGAAGGCCGTTGTTTTATGTGACCAAACCATTTAAGGTGACTCTCACTAATCTTATCTTTCACTGGAGCTACTCCAACCTTTTTCATGTATATGCTCATTTAGTATCGTTTTTCTAAGAGTAAAGCCTCTCATCCACCTGAACAAAAGTGTAGAGATTTTTTTTTTTTTTTTTTGCTTTGAAGTCGGCTCGATCCCTATTTATTCATATCCCTAATCTTTTGTACGTTTTGCATATATGTATAGGGTCTAGCGGGATTTGACCTTTTTAAAAATTCTTTACTATTTCTCTTTGTATTTGGTTGTAGGGATATTTTTAAATTTTCTTTACTATTTCTCTTTGTATTTGGTTCATCGTTTGATTATGTTGGGCAATTGCCTAAAAACCATAGTATTTTAAAAAATTTTAGGGGGGGGGGGGCAATTGCCTACAAATCCATGTAATAAAGACTAAAAATTAGATGTAGTGGGACAAATTACCTAGATAATTATATAATAAAATTTTTTTAGGGAAGGTGGATCCGCCCCAGTATCCCATTATGTGGGGTCGTTTACATGAATCCTTTTTTTTTATTGTGTCCTGTTATGTGTCAAATTCTTATTTAAATCTAATAAAAAATTATCATTTCTAATATTTTCTAACCAAATCTTTTTAGATCTACCTCTACCTTTCTTAACATAAGCCAAATCTAATACATCTACTTTCCTAATTGGGTCATCAGAAGGCCATTGTTTTATGTGACCAAACCATCTATAAGGTGACTCACACTAATTTTATCTTCCACTAGAGCTACTCCAACCTTTTCACATATATGCTCATTTAGTATCGGTTCTCTAAGAGTAAAGCCTCTCATCCACCTGAACATCCTCATCTCTGAAACACTTAACTTGATATTATGCTTCTCCTTTAATGGCCAACATTCTGCACCATAAAGCATTGTGGGTCTCACCACCATCTTATAGAATTTTCCCTTATGTTTGTGGGGGATTTTTCTATCACACAACAAGCCCAATGCATTCCTCCACTCAACCATCCAACTTGAATTCTACTAATAATATCCCCATCTATTTTGCAGAGATGAGGATGCTCAGCCTCAGGTAGATGAGTGGCTCTACTAAGTAATGAAGCATTGCATCTCTCACCGCCATCTTATAGAATAGAGTCTGTTACGGTTTTGTAAAAAATTTCCTTCAGATACTAAGGAATATGAAAGGTTTCCCAGATTTTATTAAACGAGGAATATAAACTTGCACATCCAACGTATTGTCTCCATCTTTGGAATTAAACAAGAAGTTGGAAGCTGAAGGGGAATTTGAGTAATGGAGTGGTTAGTCTTATGGACCCAATAAACATTTTGATTGATTTTCTGTTACTGGTTTTATTATGAAAGAATTTGATTCCAGGAGACAAAATAATTACTCTATAAATCTTTTAAATATATATATATATATATATATATATATAGTTCAAGTGAAGGGCATTTCTTATTTTCTGCTTATATGTATTATGTGTCTATTCTTAGTTGTTCCCTCTCAGGTCAAATCCAAATTGGAATCATTACCTTCGATATGTTTTTAAATCTGACATACTCGGCCCTACTCCCTCATTCAAAGGAACTTGAAGAGCTCATTGCTCATGATCTGGATGTTAAGTCATATCAGGTAAAAGTTAAATCTCTACTGATTTATTATTTTAAGCTAGTTAAGTTCCTACTACGGTGGAAAGATATTCCTTCACCATGGAAATGATGCGCCTTCAACCTAGAGTGCTTGGCTTGCCCCATTATTTCCATCTGAACATCTTACACATGCAAATGCTTGCACGTTTCTTATTGTATATTCTTATACGGCCACTATGTTTGTTTTTTCAGGTTCATTTAATGAAACTTACCAGCCAAGGTAACGGTACTCTCATAAAATTGGCCATATTTCCATCTGGCACTTCAGACTTTATTTCTAATACAACAGCAATGGTAAATTCATCCTATAGCAACTCTTAGCGCATTTTGGATTTGTACATATCTACCTTTCAGTTTTTGCTAGTATTTATAAGCACCTTATGATATCCAGGGCATAATTACTCGAATAACTGAACACCGGTTTAGTCTTCCTGAAACTTTTGGAAGCTATGAAGTGGTTCATTGGAATTTTGAGCCTCCATTAAGAAGGTATTTACCTTTTTAATACATTCATATCAAACATGTTCAAGCCATCTGTGGTTTTGATAAAAATGGTTTCTAAAAGAACCATGAAACTCTAATCTTAGATTTTGCCTGCTCCATCCTTCTCAGAAAACAGTTTTTGTTTGTCTGCTCTCCTTAATTTGATCAATCTGAATGGTTTTACTTGTGCGCCTGTTACTGAGGTTTCGTTTGGGATGGATTTCTTTCTGCTTCTTAAAGCAGCTTTTTAGTATAAATTTTTTTAATTTTGTACTAAAAAACTGTTTTAAAAAAACAGTGAGAAAGCCATCCCAAATTAGGCAAATTATTAGGTCCGGTCACCAGATCTAAATTTGTGTCCAGATTTGTGCACTTTTCATGCAATTTTGATATATTTTTGCAAAAAGGCAGCTAATACGCAATTTTAATTGCGTATTAGCTACTTTTTTGTTGAGTATTTACAAAAATAAAGCAAAAGCGTAGCAAAAGCGCAACAAATATCTTACTCATTAAGTATTTGCTGCCCTTTTGCTACGTTTTTGCTGCATTTTTCAAATATTCAGTAAAAGGGCAATAAAAGGGCAGCAAAAGGGCATCAAAAGAGCTTCCTTTTTTGTAAAAATACATCAAAAGCGAAGAAAAGCGCACAAATCCTGACACAAATTTAAGTCTGGTGACCGGACCTAATAATTTGCCCACAAATGAAGCCGGAATCTTCTTGATTATCTATTCATCTTTGTCATATGCATAGGTCATGGTGGCAGCGACATTTATGGGCAGTGGGCTTGGGTATTTCAGTTGTTGTGATGGTCAGTTTCACAACCTTCTTAGTCTGGTATTTGTGGAGACATAAATTTGCTGCTTCGCAGGCTGCATACAGGCCTGTGGATGCTATTGTTTCTGAGCAAGAGATGCAGCCTTTGTAACTTAAAGCTGCTTGTCAGGTATAATCATAATATTCTTATAACTGACAAGGTATAATTATTAACGAAAATATTAAGAAAAGAGGAAAGAATAAAAGTACAACTGGCTCTAATTGATTGATTATTTGGAGCAAATTTTTGCAACCTTTTAATTCTGTTTCTTGAGTTAAATCATTGGTTGTCATCTCTGTTATAGTTTATGCTAAATTAATCCAGCGAGCCCATGTTCTCATGATCAAATGAATGACCTGATTTGACCGACGGGATGATCTTTGCCGTATATTTCATCATAATTTTATGCCATTGCTATTATTATAACCCAACTCTGCACTCATTCATCACAATGTATTTTATTTACTTATTATTCTCTGCACTAAAGAATATTCTTGACATACATCATATTGAGTTCATATCTAGGGGCGGAATCAGTCTTAATTTTTAGCGGGGGCAAATTTATAAGTAAATGATGGTGTTGCCTTGAATTTGGCTTGACCCTTACTGCAAAAAAATGGGTCATTAACGACCAAAAAAATAGAGACAAAGAAAATAGTCGCTAAAGATATCTTTTAGTTACCAAAAGTAACTAAGACTTCTAAATAATAAGAAAATTTGATATTCGGGGGTTCAATGGGGCAGCGCTCTTTGGCCGAATTTGACCTGTTAGCGGACCTGTTAGCGGGGGCAATTGCCTAAAAACTCTTGAAATAAAGACTAAAAAAAGATATTGGAATATAAATTATCTAAAGAATCATATAATAAAGAATTTTTTTTTTATTTCATGTCATGACACAAGTTTCATTTTTCATAGGCGATGAAATACTTTCCAAGCATTTTATTTATAAATTGTGAAGTCCAGTAAATAAAATGAAAATAAATCCTTAAATATTGACGATTTTTCGGTTTAATGTTTTAAAATTAAGCGTGCTCGCAAATGGGATAACTTCGAGACTATTAAGTCAATCCATGTGATATATCAATAATTAATAATTAAGTGTTTAGACTGTTATAAATAATATTGCAAATTGGAAATTGAAAATTAAGTATCATATAGAACAAAGTATTATGCTATAGGAGTTATATCTAATCTCTTAAATTTTGGCGCACTTTTTGATCTTATGGGAGCTATTTTAAAATTTTATTTTGCTTGGTGGATGATTTTGGATAAAATATATTATGAGGATGCTAATTAATAAGTGAGAGATTGTGAAATCATTGAAAGTATTATTGTTTAAGTAAAGATGATCATTTAAATATCAGGACTTTTTTAATGTAATTGTTAAAATTTTATTAAAAATTGATAAATTATTTTTTAGAAAGTACAGCAATGTGATAAAAATGTGAAGTCCTTAGATAAAAAAAAGATGAGAATTTAAGCTATTAAATAAATTATATCTAAAATCCCGTAATGTTAATTATGATTAGAGTGAAGGAAAGTCGCATATTTAAAAAGCATGCTATTGTTTATTTATTTACACTAAATATTCTATAGAAATACGAATGGGTATGTAAAAGATAAAAAATTGACGAATCTAGGCATGGGCATCTATCTAATAGTCATAAGAATAATTAAAATTATTAGGCATCTGCTTATTTTTATTTCATTATTTGATATTGCCTCTCGCTTTTAATGGGCAGATTGGCATTTTTTATTTTGACATGTCGCTGTTGTACGGCTAACATGAGAGTAACTTAAAAAGACATTAAAATATCATGGTAAGGGCATCTCCAACCGAGAACTCCATTTTTCACTACAAAATACAGCAAAACTCCAAAATGTCATGATCCTACTCCAATCGTATGTCATTTTATGTGCTTATGAAAAGATAACGATCCTTCTCCCTTTCGTGCGTTTTTCCGGTTGAGAGAGCAAAATAGCATAGGTGAACAGTGCAACGCTAATATTTGACGTTCAGCTGGAGCGAACGAACAATGTCATATGCTCGTTTGGCATTCGGTTGAAAATGCTCTAATGGAAGAGGATCCAATCCAATTGACATATATAGAAGAATAATAGAACATTTCAAACCCACTTACCATCCGACCTTATTAGTCATCTTACTTATTATTTATTACGACAAAATTAATAAGAAAAATTTTGTAAATATAACATCAAAATAATTTGAAGGTTGTTGGACGTAAACAAATTGGGAATGAGTGTTTTGATTGCAATTGTAAGATTGAACGGGGAAAATGAAAGTAAACAGAGCTTGCAATCGGAGCAATTAGACCAATAATATAGATATAAAAAACTGCTTTAAAAAGTGGTAAGAAAGCCACCCCAAACAAAAAGCAGTCCTCTTTAAATGAACATCTAGATCTATCAACCTTCATACCTTGCATCAACTTTGCTTTACTCTTTAGTATTATTAAAGCTGAAAGGAAGCAATATTAAAGCCAGGCCCACCACCAGCTTAATTTTGGATCCTTTAGCTTTAATGATCTTTAAGTATTCCAATTCTTGTTTCAACAGCCAGATTTGCTTTGTTTCACTCCAATGGTGCCCAGTAACAACAAATTGATGCAGCGCATCAGTATTGTTTATCTAATTGCAATAATTAGACATTTAACCTTTGTGGTCCAGTTTTGGGTTTTTCATCATTTACTGTGGGGTCTAACTTTTCAGCAGCAGCTACAATATCAAATTCACTTGTTTTCCACCGGATGGGATGGGGCTAGATCTGTCCCGAATGAAATTATTGTGATAAAAGCTAATTCTTAGCAAATGTATGAAATTTTTTTTTTTTCTGAAATAGCGTATCTTAAGGCTTCATTTGGGACGGCTTTCTTACTACTTTTTAAAGCATTTTTTTAGTATAATGGTTTTAATTTTTGTATTAAAAAGCTGCTTCAGAAAGCAGTTGGAAAGCCATCCCAAACAAAGTCTAAGTACTAGATCTTGAATATTGGCTAGTAAACAATAATCAAATTCACCTAAAAATTTTCATTGTATTACCTGAACTTCTTACTTAGTGCTGTCATGGAAGCAGTTCTTTCAAAGTTCAAGACCACCATGATATAATAATTTCGGAAAAACTCCAGATTGCATGATCAGGAACCTTAAAAGTGATCTGTTTAAAAGGTTTTGGCTCATTTATTTCATTCAAGTGATTCAAACATTGGAAAAATTAGCAACCTCAATAATTTAATGCTGACAGAATGAATGCTCTTACATCAAAAGCTATAAAAACTTGGCTAGTCCTATTGTTACAAAAGCAAACACAAGAACTCTAGCTACACTAACAAATCAGTTATTAGAAGATTAACTAATCAAGCAGTTTTACGAGCTACCATAGGAAGCTACCAATGATAAGAGGTAAATGCTATTCATACCTCGATATGATGAGCTCCAATTCATGCCGCAAGCACACAAATGGGTGGTTGACACATCATTGTGAGCAGCATAGGTTGCAAACAGATATAGGGTCAGCAAATGAACAGATAATAGAGAGCTGCAGTATTCATAAAAGAGTAACAAAAACCACAAGATTTGATCATTTGCTACGATTTAAAGGCAGAAAACGTAAAGAATTCATTTGCAGACACATGTGATGCCAAACTCTAGGTATATAGCAATATTAGTACTTAACAAAGTATACTGAAAAAACCTAGAGCATTCTTGTACAAAATCCTACAGTTATGGAAGATACTGTTACTTAACAAAGTGAGGATTGAGCAGCCCTGAGATTTCAAGAAACCCAACACGATCTCTGCCTCCAAATATGCTTTTCAGCTTCTCATCACATACTATGATTTTCTTGTTCTCTGGATCCTATGATTTAAAAGCAAACCAAAAACGCGAAAAGTCAATAGCTTTCCATTTGGTAGTTCTATAAAACAATTATGTTTAGAAGTTTTACAGCGAGATGAACATCTTAGATTGAAATCAAAATGTTTTTTTCCGGACGAAGCAAGGGAAATATATTTTTATAATTAAAATAAGTCCAACAAGGATTGCTATACAAATCAGAATAGAGAACAAAAGAAACCGACTGCTATTGAAGTCAAATGCGGGAGTTGTTTTCTTCTTGTGGCAACAGCCATATATGACTCCTTTTACCAATGGAAAGGGGAATTCTAAAAAGCTTCCTGATTATAAATATGGTCCAATGCATGCACAAAATAAAAATCTAGTTGGATATATTATTATTTTCACTTATTTCCACTTATGCTTTAAGAGTTCTGCGCAAATTATTTCCTTGTCCAAGAAAAATGCTTGCTTCTAATGAATTATTTCTCTTCTACAATTTTTTGTTCAATATTCTGGAACCGATTTGAGAGATTAACTTTAATCAAATAGGATACAATCTAATTTTTAACTAGACTGAATTTTTAAAGAATCAGTGTGATTTACTTGATCCTGAACTTTCAATCATTTGATTTTCTTCTAAATTTGTTAGTTCTAGATTTTCATCAAAGTTAGCAGATAGTTATCCAAGATTATGAGTTTTTAACCAACGGATTTTATGTTGTTATTATCCGATTTTTTGCAACTCATTTTAGTTTTGCATTAAAAGCTCTAGGTCATTTTAATCACGTCTAGAATTCAATAATGGATCTTAGGCATTCAATAGTTTCAAGTTGATTTTCAAAATATATTTCATCTCAAAGAAGCTTGCCCCAACACAAAACTATAGATACTAATCTTGTATACAAAAATGTATAATTAGAGAATGTAGTTTTAAGATACTTTTTTATAAGAAAAGTTCCATGTTGAAGATGTGCAGAAAAAAAAAAAGGAAACTTCCACAAAACAGGTATTAACAGAAAAGCCCAAGTATTATATCCTAGAACCATTTAGGAAAGTTAAACATGCTAGCTATTGAATAATGAAATATTTCTAGTTGAGCAAAATTTATAAAAAAGTTAGAAAAATGAAGAACTTGTAGTGCAAAATATCATGAACCAAAAAAATTTATCTGAGTTAAAGAAAATCAAGCTTGATCCATGGGCATGGTTTGTTTGTCTTTATAGTATAGAATATTCCCTTCACACAAGATTTATAGTCATCTTTGTTCCCAAGATACAAAAATATTAAGAAACTTTGCTCTCTTACACCATAGCACGGTCAGGAGTGAAGCTTTTGTAAACTACACTCATTAACTACCAAGATTCCAATTTAACGACAGGAAGAAAAAAAATAGGCAAACTAGGCTTTGGTATAGATTAGAGGAAGACTGGGGCAAAAGAATAGAAGAGAATTTTTCTTAATTTTTCTCACCCAGCTTGCACATATGTAAATCATACTAATCTCCTCTCTTATAATATTTGTGCATAAAAAGAATATGCTAACTGCAAACCCCAAATAAGCTTTTGACTCATTCAATTTCCTATTCTTTTCATACTAATTCATAAACCTCGCGCATGCATGTCATACAATTGAAAAAGTTATATGATGTGAAAAATAAAGCTTGTTATCAACTTGCTAAAAAATCCTTTTTTGTACTTCTATGTGCGGCTCAACTTACAACAAACCTAATATTAAACAATATATACATCAACACCAAATATATTGGAGGACTATGACATACAAAGAAGGCAAATTTTATAGTGGTTTGGTGAGTTACACCTATATTAGTTGTAACAAAGGAGGGAAACCTTAAGCTACTCATCAACTATTACATGTAAAGTACATGAGACTCAACATAGAGAAAATGAAGGTCTAAGAGTTGTTGAGCAAATTTATACTCCAAAACCTACTCCAAGAGGATTCAAGTCAATGTCACAAAGTTTTACATGTAGAATACATGAGACTCAATATGGAGAAAATGAAGTTGTAAAAATGGTTGAGCAAATTTTTTACTCCAAAATCTACTCCAAAGGGTGCCTTGAGTGGATTCCAAGAGGATTCAACTCAATGTGCCAAAGCTTTCGTTGAAATCAATCTCTCCCTCTTGTTATCAAGTTGTCCCAACAAATCCTTCTTTGTAATTTTGTGTATGGCTCGACTTACTAAAAACCTAACCATGAGCAATGTATAAATCAATACCAGAGAAATTAGAGAAATACGACATATAAAGAAGGCAAAATTTATAGTGACTTGGTGAGCAACATCTACATCCATTGTAATGAAGGGGGTAAACCTTACACTACTCATAACATGTAGAGTACATGAGATCCAACAATGAAAAAATAAAGAAAAAAAAGTTGTTGAGTAGATTTATAACTCCAAAATCCAATTCGAAGGATTCTTCCAGTGGATTTCAAAAGGATCAAACTCAACGTACTAAAGTTATTGTTAAAGTTAATCTCTCCCTCTCGTTATCGAGTTGCCGCAACAAATTCTTCTATGTACATCTGTGTGGGGGTCGACTTACAATTAAACTAATCATGGCAATGTATACATAAACACTGGAGAGATAAGAGGACTACAACACATAATGAACGCACCCTAAACCCTAAACCCTAAATGGTTTGTTGAGTAACACCTACATCCGTTTCAATAAAGTAGGGAAACCTTACGCCACTCGTCAGTATTACTTGTAGTGTACATGAGACTCAAGAAGAAGAAAATGAAGAACTAAAAGTGGTTGAGTAGATTTAACAATCCAAAATCTACTCCGAAGGATATTTTGAGTGGATTCCAAGAGCATTCAACCCCGCACCCCAAAGTTTTCATTAAAGTCGATCTCTCGCCCTTTTTATAAAGTCACCCTAGCAAACTCTTCTTTGTACTTACGTGTATGGCTCTACCACCCCCTCCCTTTGGGGTTTTAATAAGCGTTGAAGGAACCACCAACAGTATTGCATCTCCAACCGAACGCCAAACGAGCGTTTGGCGTCATTCCTTCGCTCCAGCCGAACGCCAAAAAATCCTCCATTTGCTTGCGGGTCAACAGTGCAAGGCCAACCACGCCATTTTTCTCTGTCAACCGGAAAAATGCGGGAAAGGAGAATTTTGCGGTATTTTGGCGTGAAAAATAGAGTTATCGGTTGGAGATGACCTAAGGATAAGGTTACAAAAATCCAAATACTACGTTTCCAACAAAAGCAAGCAATGTCCTTCAGAATCATCACGATTAAATTTTTCATCATTTCTTTTGCCTTTAGATATTCCAATATAAAGCAGAAATACCATCAAAACCCTAACGGAAGTTAAGTTCTTCCGACCTATAAATAGCCCCTAAACCACATCATCAAAACCCTAAAAAACTACAGACGCTTCTTATCAAAACCATAGCCAGATGGAAAACCTGGAGATTATTCTGCTTAATGTAGGCCCAAATCTGCTTTAGGGCTTGCGTCCGCGGGATCTCCTTTACTCCGAGGAAGGCTTGCATTGCCGGCGACACTGGCTTGGGCTTCGTGATGCCCCTCGCCGGCTTCTTCGGCCCCGTCTCCTCAGAGATAACAGTGGTCTTTGCTGATGCCGACGCGCGATAAGACAGCGTCGCCGGTTTCAACCTCGGCAACCGAGCCGCACGGGAGCCAACAGTCTCTCCACAGATAAAAGAACTAGAGCATCCAAGCGAGATGAAGGCCGACATGTTCGGAGGTTTGCCGCCGGCCGCTGCTTAGAAGGGATGAGGGGTTTTAGCTCTTCACAAGTAAAAACAAAAAAGTGCAGTGAGCTTTCGAATATGCGCTTCACAAGAGCTGTGGTATATATGGGCGGTGGAAACAATCTGGGCCGCCGCACAGGCCCATTTAAATTCTACAGCAGCGATGAGAGAGAGCCCAATGAACTCTCCTGATTTAATTGGGACTTTGGCCGCTCATCAGCTATCACTTCAGGTCGAGTCTATATCCAAATTTAGGTTTATTGAGCCACTTAATTAATTTAAAATATAATTTAAATTAATATTTTATAATATATTTAATTATTAAATTATCTTTTAAAAAAAACTTAGATTTTATTTTAAAACTGCAAAATCGAGTCAAGGTAAGGCTTTCTAAATTAGCTCGAGCGTAAAATATTTTAATGAGACAAGATCGAGTTAGGGCTCAGGTTCGAACTCAAAAAGAATTAAACAAGCCTAGCTCAATTGGACGCTTACTTACACGTCTCAACTCCTGAGGGATCAAGAAAATCAACCTCGAAATTTATTGAAAGTAAATAATAGCTCTAGTATAAAGTTGGAACTCTAAATAATGTTAAAAAAATACATCAATAAATGGAATAGATTAAATGAGATGCAAAGGGGTTAGTTTTATTATATAGACTCGAATTTGAACTACATAATCAAATATGACAAATACATTAAATTAAGTCACCTAAAGTTCAAAATTAGGAGACATGACAATGACTTGTGGCTATTAAACAAAAGCTCATAAGGCCAAAGAACATTCAAAGAAGTCCTTCGTCAATATAATAAAGAAATACAACATAAGTTTAGGAAGACAAACGAGAAAAAAATATAAGCAATCACTAAGGGAAGAAACATAAATTTCAAGGAGATAGGTTCAATGTTGAACATCAGATCTTTTTGATGAGATCTATTAGTTATAGCAATTGCAATGTATGATTTGGAAAAGTTTCTTTGATTGATAATAATTGTTAGTGATGAGAATGAGATATTATTTTTAATCTCTCTTATTTGGAAACAAAATAAAGATTGTTGCTAATGACTTTTCTCGAATTTGAACTACCACCCGACCTTTGATAGCCGTCGTACTTCTGCTCGATCGTCGTCAGATCATCGTTGCCCGCCGACTATGGTCCCTTCTACCACCGTCACCCGCAGACTAAGGTCCCTCTGACCACTGTCGTCCAACGACTATAGTCTTTCTAACTAACATCACCCACTGACTATGATTCGTCCAACCTCTTTTGCCTGCCAACTACGGGCCCTCCAACCAACGTCACCCGCAGAATACAGTCCTTTCGACCTCTGTCTCCTGCCAAAATTAAGAGACATGACAATGACTTGTGGCTGTTAAACAAAAGCTCATAAGGCCAAAGAACATTCAAAGAAGTCCTTCGTCAATATAATAAAGAAATACAACATAAGTTTAGGAAGACAAACGAGGGTCCCTCTGATAGCCATCGCTCACGGGAGTACGCTACCTCCGACCAATGTCACCCGCCAACTATGGTCCCTTCGACCAATGTTGCTTGTCGACTACAGTCCATTTGACCTCACGTCGACCGCCGACTACGGTCCTATCACCCACTGACTAGCGTCCCTCTTACATCTTTCACCCACCAATTATGGGCCCTACGACCTTCGCCACTTGCCAACAATAGTCCCTCAGACTATTTTTGCCCATCGACTACGGTCCCTCCTACCAAGATCACCTACCAACTACAATCCTCAGACCATCATCACATGTCGACTATAGCTCTTTCGACCACCTTCGTCCGTCGACTATAGTTCCTCCGACCATCGTCGCCCTCCTACTACGGTTCCTCTAACCCCTGTCGTCTGTCGAATATGGTCTCTCCGTCCACCGTCACCTATCGACTACAGTTCCTTTGACCACCCTTACCTACTGACTACAATCCCTCCAACCTCTGTCGCTCATTGAATACGATCCTTCTTATCACTGTTGCTAGCAGACTATGGTCCCTCCAATCTCCGTCGTCCGCTAACTAAGGTCCCTCCAACCTCCGTCGTCCTGCCAACAAAATGAACATGCCAACTTTCTCTTGAGAATAGATCCCTTATCAATGGATTCTTCCAATCAACATCAAGCATTATATACACTATATACAAGTATTAAACATGCTTCGTATAAGCATTATGGTGTAATCATTTTAACAGGGCAAGGCCCCGTGGTTTTTTTCCCTTTTCATGGTTCTTTCATGAAAAAAATCTTGGTGTCTTATAGATCCCTTATCAATGGATTCTTCCAATCAACATCAAGCATTATATACACTATATACAAGTATTAAACATGCTTCGTATAAGCATTATGGTCTGATCATTTTAACAGGGCAAGGCCCCGTGATTTTTTTCCCTTTTCATGGTTTTTTCATGAAAAAAATCTTGGTGTCTTTTATGACTCTCGCACTCATCTTTCTTATTTGTATGTATGGTGGATCTTCATACAAATTTTGGACACTAAGTATATATCTCTCTGCCGTCACAAATATTCTAGTATGCAACATGAAGAAAGAAAATTTATTAGACATGATTTAAATGGTCATTTTAGTTCTATTTAATGAATTAGTCATAAATTCATTAAATAAATTTAATGAATTTAAAACAGTCCCCCACTCCCCCCCCCCCCCCCAATTCAAACATATAAAATTTGTTTAAATATTTCAGCTTTATCTAACCAAAATCAAGCTTTTAAATCCGTCTTAATAGCAGCCTTTAATCTAAGCCTTTGGTTTTGAATAAAGAAGTGAGGGTAGGATGATCTTTGGTTTACATTTTAGAAAATTATTAGGCATAAGTACGGCTGGTTTTGGTCAGGATTCGTAGGGCAAATAATAAAAAGGAGCACTTTTTATATGAAAATAAGCTTTAAGAATGTCTGTGCATTGAAATTTAAAAAAAAAATCAAGATAGAAGTGCGTATTCAAAAACTAGATTATAAAAATCAATTATATTTTTTTTGTTGCTTTTAAGAAATTTTTGAATTAAAAAGATACTGTAAACAAATGGTAAAAAAATTGATGTAGTGGCTCATCGGAAGAATCGACCTGCAAGAAGGATTTAATCCCAATCCATGGAACAAGAGGAACCCAAAGATTCAAATCTTTAAAAAGGAGATAATATTCATTCAATGAGCCATCCACTACAAAATATACCTATATAAACTAGCTATAGAAGATTCTAGAAAAACTCATAACAAACTAGATAAGATATCGTAAGAAATACTTCAAGCTTAAAATGCTCCGCATCATTCTCCCCTTGCATCAAAAGAGCTCGACTCCATTAAGTCGCGTTATTGGAAGGGAGGTAGTTGCAGAAAATTAGATTCCTGGATTGAAAATTTTGTTCTCTATATTTCTCTCCTCTGGAGTGGTCTTTTGGAAGTCCACAAAAAATTTCAATAATTTCATGTTGGAAGAAGCAAGATCAGCACTTCATCCAAGGAAATATGGGATGACAGACGCAAGGGCATTAAGGCATTGCTGAAAGAGGTTCCGAGTAACATCTGTGTTGCTCTCCGAAGTGTAAGTCGGCAGAGGTTTCTCCAGTCCTGCAGGAAGTTCTTCAGATATGATGGATTTCAGCTCTGCTGCGTACTTCTTCTCATATTCAGCAAATTTTGCATTCCACTCTGCTTCAAGAGAAGCACCTTTAGGGACATGCTGGCTCGAATGGCTTTTCACATCAAAGTTTTTGGATACACAAATCCACAATTTAGGATTAAATTCCTCTGTCATTTCATCTTCGTACACATGTTGCAAGAGATTTGTTTTTCCTTTACCACCATTCCCCACTATAGCTAGAAGAGAAATGTTCCTATACAAATCAGTTCCAGGATGCTCATTTGATGGCTTCCTTAACCACTGCATAATCAACTCCTTGTCCTTGCCTCTACCGATAAAATCATTTCTAGGAAAGGATCCTGCTTCACGTGCTTTGTATAACTCATGTTGCTGCTGCTTTGTGCTTTCTAAAAGATGAATGAAAAGACTAACCTCAACTGGAACTTTATCAAGTTTCTGCACAACCTCCTCTAGCCTCTTCAAGTTGGGTTCAGATCTTTTAGCGACATTTCGTCGAACAGATTGGGAGCATTGCATTGGATCAGTCTTGTCACTAGAATTCAAATCAGCCATTTTCACACCTATAGTAGAAACATCTTCAGCAAGACGTAAAGAAACCATTCCAATTATGGAAGCCTTCTTCTTGGACATATGCTTTAAAACCTCTTTTTCTTCGTTGTCGGAACTAACCTGGGAACTCGAACTTGAAATGCATTCATATGAAAAATGTCTCTTCAAAGCACTGCTACCTACTAGAAAATGTTTGGTAGTTCTAAGGTAATCATCCATTGACAATTTTTCTGTACAAATAATTTCAACCTCTTCTTGTGATGCAAGTCCTGAAGCAAGGGGAAGTGCAATATTGGAGCCCGCACCCAGCTCCCTTCCAGCACCTGGCTTTCTCTCCTTGTAAGCATCCTGTAGAATTTCATCAGGACTCAAAGAGACCATGGTAACCTCCCTTTCAACCTTGTTGGACTGCAACAATTTCAATTCTGTCGAAGTAGAGATGAGATCTTCACCCAATTGAGAAGTTATAGCATATTCCACAGCCACCAAACTGACTTCAAAATCAGAGGCCTCGGATACCAATACTCCATTCGGTAAATCAGAATTTGAATTCATGAGGATTGGAACTGGATTATAAACGTGTGGAGTGCCGATGGCGGGATTGGGCGGGCTGAAGTCACTTAGAGAGTCGGAGAAGGAATTTGGAGTGTGGGACGCAGGTATTTCGTGAGCAGTGGTCGGGTTGCGAGATGAAGCAGAAGTAAAATTAGAATCGAGCTGTGGGAGAGCGAACGGAGTTGCAACTGTGAAATCTTGATGGAGGGGATCGGGATTACGAGTATGGCATTGAACTAGAGGGGGTTGTGCCATCGGAGAGGAAGCTCGAGCGACGGATACTCCGGCGGAGAATCGC